CACATATTCATAATATAAATGAGTATGGAATCATAAAATATAATTAATATAGGATAAGGAACACTTACCCCAATATTTTCCCGTAAAAATCGCCCAAAACGCGTCTTACCCGAGATCAAAATCGAAAATGGTGGAAAATGGGTTGAATTCACATTCCCAGAACTTACGTTCTGTTTGCCTAGATTTTTACTCATCGCGATCGCGGAAATTCATTCGCGATCGCGTAGAACAACTTTTGCTCAGGTCTATTTTACTCTTCGCGATCGCGGGAATGGCTTCGCAATCGCGAAGCACATTTTGGCTGCTCAGATTTCTAACTCTACGCGATCGCGTAAATGGTCATGTGATCGCAGAGAACCTTTTCTCAACCTTACGCGATCGCGTACTGACTTGTGCGATTGCGTAGCACAATTAACGTGCCTAGCTTCTGCCTTCCTTCTACGCGATCGCAGCTTGGCCCTCGCATTCGTAGTGCACTGGGAGTTTACCTTCCGCGATTGCCTCCCTATCTTCGCGACTCACAAGTTCCCCTTCGCGATCGCAGGAATGGCTTCGCGATCACGAAGCACAATGCACCAGATGACAACAGAAGCTAAAATTCATATTTTTCTCAAAGTTCAAATGCTCCGTAGGCTATCCGAAACTCACCCGAGGCCTCGGGGCTCCAAACCAAACATGCACAGAAGTCCAAAAATATCATATGAACTCGCTCGCATGATCATATCGCCAAAATAACATCTAGAACTTATGAATCGGACACCAAATCAAAGGAAGTTTTCAAGAAAACTTTAAAACTTATATTTTCACAATCGGACGTCCGAATCACGTCAAATAAACTCCATTTCTCACCAAATTCGACAGACAAGTCATAAATATTATAGTGGACTTGTACCGGGCTCCGAAATCACAATACGAATCCGGTATCAACAAGACCAAACATCGATCAATTCTTAAAATCATCAAACTTTCAAAATTTTAATTTTTCATCAAAATTCCATATCTCGGGCTAGGGGACCTCAGAATTTAATTTCAGGTATACGCCCAAGTCCCAAATCACGGTACGGACTTACCGTAACTGTCAAAACACTGATCCGAGTCCATTTTCTCAAAATATTGACCAAAGTCAAATTAGTTGAGTTTTAAAGCTATATTTCACATTTTAATCCATTTTTCACATAAAAACTTTCCAAACAATTGTACAGACTGCGCACGCAAGTCGATGAGTGATAAATAGTACTTTTCGAGGTCTTAGAACATAAAATTAATTATCAAATTTAATGATGACATTTTGGGTCATCACAGTAGGTTTGCGGAGACTGTGCTTTGCGGTCGCGTAAGAGTTTCTGCGATCGCATAGGGTTATTTTGACAGTGAAAAATTTTGTGCTTGGCGATCGCGGGACTTGGTCCGCGATCGCGTAGAAGAAATGACTAGGCAGAGAGTTTAAATTCTAAAAAATATTACCGATTTGGAGCTCGGGGAGAGGCGATTTTCGGGAGTTTTTCAAGAAAAACAACAGAGTAAGTGTTCTTAACTCAATTTTGGTCAAATTACCCGAATTTATTGCTAGTTTTAGCATTTAATTGGTGATTTAAGTTGAAAAATATTGAAAACTCTCTTGGTTAGATTTGAAGATGTGAGGGTCGAGTTGATGTCGGAATTTTATAATATTAGTATGGTTGGACTCGTGGTTGAATGGGCGTTCATATTTTATAATGTTTGTTGGGTTCCGAGACATGGGCCCCACGGAAGATTTTTGAGTTAAATTTTAGATTTTTGTTGGAAATTTAGTATTTCATATGGAATTAATTCCAATAATTTATATTGAGTGAATCAAATTAATTGTGACTAGATATGAGGCTTTTGGAGGCCAATTTATGAGGCAAAGGTATAACGGAGTAAAGAATTACATGATTCAAAGTAAGTGACTTGTCTAACCATGTGTGAGGGAAATTTTCCTTAATATTGGTATTGTTATAAAAATTGTGATGTGTAGAAAGCCATGTACGTGAGGTGACGAGTATATACATTGGCTAAATGTGAAAAATTCTGGTTTCAAATTGTGTAATGTCTATCATATATTAATTAAATTATTTTATCCTGTTATACTCATCATCATTGATCTGTTTTTATATCTTAAATTTGCCTTACCTTTTCCTTCTAATTGTTTTACTTGTTTAGTTGAAGCTTTGTTTCTTTTAATCTACGCTCATTATTTGAAAGTTGGATTTTTTAATTGAATTATTATTAATATGAAGTATTTGACATTTAAAATTTGGTATTGAGGCAAATGTTAAATTTGTGAAATATTATTTTTAGTTGAGTTATTCACTCCCGAATATTTTATTGAGATTTTCTTTGTATACATTGTGATTGATTCGTGTGCTCCTTATTGTAGAAAGTAATTTTGTTGTTGATTTATTTGGCAAGGTGAAATAATTGGGCACTTGAGGTGCGAATTGTGATATATTGTGATTTTGATACGCATGCGGTGGTATAAGGTCTGGGTGTTGAAACGCATGCGATGAGATAAGTGGGGCTTGATACACGTGGCTAGTAGGGGAACTGCTAAAAGTAATGCGGTGTGATAAGGATGGCTAAAACACGGGATGCTATTTCGGAAAAAATAATTTCTTTAAAACTAAATGTGAATGCTTCCGCGGTGATATAAGGAAAAGAAATATTGTGAATTTATTTATGATTTGGGATTAAGAAGCGGTACCTCGGCAGCGCCCTTGTTGATAGTTTTTTTCTCATTGGTGTACTTGTCTTGATTGTTTGATTTTTACTAAATATGTAAATTCCTGTTTTCTACCGAGATGTATTATTTGCCCTTACTCTGTGCAGTTAAATTGTGACATACTCCTTACTCAATTCACTTTCATTGTCATTATTATTATTATATTATTAAATTATTCGCCCTGACTTTTATTATTTCCAGTAGGGCCCTGACCTGACTTCGTCACTACTCTACCGAGGTTAGACTTAGCACTTAATGGGTACCGATGTAGTATACTTATACTACACTTCTGCACATCTTTTTGTGCAAATCCAGGCACTTTCTACCAGACTAGGTATCTGTGAGCTAGTTTATACGCGGAGACTTCAAGGTACATATGCCAGCGTCCGCAGACCTCGGAGTCCCCCTCTATCCTTATTGTTTTGTTTTCCTTATTCTATTTAGACTCTGATGTATAGAGATACTTAGTATTTCCCTTAGAAGCTTGTGACTTATTTCTACCGAGTTTTGGGAGTTGTAATTATTTAAATCACAGCTTCTATTTATATATCATGTGTTGAGATTGGAGTTTAGTTTTATATTCAATTATTCTGTAAATTGTTAGACTATGTGTCATCACGACATCCTACGGAGAGAAATTAGGGGCGTGACAGAAATAATGAAATATTAGTAAACTTAGCATTTAATGAGTGATGTCATTAAAGTAGAATCTCATTGTTGGACTTATAGTGTTTTTTTTTCTTTTGAATTATATTTACTTAATGTATATTGAATTTTATTTTATGTTTTGTTGTAATTTTACATAGGAGTATTATGTAAAAAAAAAAATTGAATTTTGAATTTATGTTAAATTTTCTCTTCCATTTTATTTTCTTTAGTAGTATTCTTTTATTAATTCAGACAACATGCCATTTATCTTTCAGTTAAAATCGACAGATTATTTTTTCGTAAAATATTTGAACAATGTTATGGCATTATATTTATAAATATTAATTATTTTATAAAACATGCAGTCTATTATGTTTTTACAAAATATGTACTTTTAGTTTTTATAGTTAATAAAGTAACATATTATTAATTTGAAAAATATATATCAATTAGTTACAAATATATGATTAATAAATAATATATTTTCAAGAAACAATATCTACCTTAAATATCAAATTTAATATTATTTATAAAGGTATATATTTGTTAAATCTTAACTTTGAATTTTTGATAATTAACTTTATATTTAAAATTTAATATAATTATATAATTATACTTATACAACCAAACAATATATTTGTAATTACAGTGTAATTATATTATAACAAACAAACAGGTCATCGTAATTGTAATACTGTGTAATTACTAGGTTGTGTAATTATTACCTTATTAATTATACCAAATCAAATTAGCCGTGGCTTTCTAAAGAGAACCTACTTAATTCCGAGCAATTGGTATCGCTCATATAAACTTTTCTTTTTAATTCCTAATTTTCACCAAGTCTATATGGATTTAAAGAGATCGCATATCTCTTGAGACTACTTTGATCTATGTTTTCCCCATTAATCATGTTCGCTCACCATAACTGCACCCTATACATTTGACCCTATACATTTGTATACATAAAGGGTGACGCAAGACACGATTAAATCATTGACATACATATAAAGATTAACGCGATAGCCCGGTTTTTTTATTGTTTATACATTCCAAATCATTGACATTCTGCATTCCCTCATTGTATGTAGACGTTTGCTATTTATACCTTTTGTCGAGTGTGATCATTGTTGAATTGTGTGTTTAATTATAAATCTATGTATTAGAATAAAAAGATAGACATAGTTTGAATAGCAGCAGTACTAACAATCTACCCCTTTAATCATGAATCTACGCATTAGAACAAAAAGAAAGACATAAATAATGTGATTGAACCTTGAGAACCAACAGTAGGAGATTAATTTATTGCCTACATATTCAGCCATAAAAACTTGGACTAGTTTGGTCACGATCTATTCAGGGACTAAACATGGTTTAATATGCAATACTAAATTCCACCTAACTCCTCTATGCTGTTAAAATCTATAATATTCATAGGTTGTGCTCTCGGGATAATTCAAGATTTTACCGTTTCGAATCGGAATTGCAATTGATTTTGCCTAACTTGAAGATAATCTGTCACACATTCGATAAAGCTCTTGAATTCAGATATGGAAAAGTTTTGCTCTCTCTCTATATATATTGTAAGAAATTGCACTCTATATATTGATGGCAATGGAAGAAACAAAACTGGATACTAGTAGCATTTCACTTGCATTAAATTTAAACAAGAGAGAGAATACCTACACATTTAGTTCTTCCTCACATTTCATCATACTCCATAAAATATACTATAGAAAATATAAAGAAGACAGGGGAAAAGATAAAGACTCCTAGATCTCTACCATCTTTATTACGTCATCCAACCAAGCATCAAAAGGGAGCACTTTCAATTCCCGTGTCCAAATAACAGAGTAACTAGACCAATATTTCATGCAATTTTAACCTCAATTGTCTTGGGTTTCTTAGGCTCAGGAGGCGGCAACTTCTGGATAGTCACAGTCAGAACTCCATCTTCACAGACAGCAGAAATGGCATCAATATTCGCATTCTCCGGCAGCGTAAATTTCCTCATGAATTTGCCAATCCTCCTCTCCATTCTGATATACTTTGCCCCTTCTTTCTCTTCTTCTCTCTTCCTTTCTCCGCTTATCAGCAGCACATTATCATCTTCCACCTGCACTTTGATGTCTCCAGATTTCAACCCTGGCATGTCCACAACGAAAACGTAGGAATTTGGGCATTCCTTCACGTCGGCTGGTGTTGCAGCCATTGCCTTAGCGTCACGTACGTAGTTCCTTGATGGGGCGTTAATGGACTTGTCGGAATCTTCACCGGCGGCGTCCATGAGGTGCTGGAGAGTGTGGAAGAGTGGTGTGTCGATACCCATTAGCCTGAAATCCATTTTCCTCTTCCGGGGATTTTTTTGGATGTGGAATTTTGTGATTGTGAGTTTTAGATTTGAATTGCTGAGGATGTTGAGGGAAGATTGGGTGATTATATTGTGGAAACAGGGAAGCTTCTGGAGAGAAATAGAAGAGGAAGGTGGCAACTGGCAAGTTTCTAGGAGTTTCTGTTTAGACGTTGTCCATGTTCTACATTCGTCTAGAATGTGGTCGAATTTCATGTCGTTCAAATTGCTAACATTAACATGTAATGTATGCTGCTTCTTAGATATTTGACATACTTGTTCTAACTTTCTAAAAAATTTGTCCTCGGCCCTAGACAATAAATAACGATATTTTACTTCCATCCATTTGGGCACTTTTGTATTTCTATCTATTGTGTAAAAATTATTTATATAAGCATATCACGAGAAGAATTATCTTATATATTTATAGTAACTATTAATTAATTTATTATTATAATAGATTAAAATATATTGATCATCAAAATTATCTTCACCGAACAGTATAGATAACTTAAATATTTTTTGTTTTATATCATATCATACAATAAAAGCAACATTTGGCGGGGATGCCTGAGTATCAAACAAGGTTTGACGGAAAGTGGAGTGAGACTCGAGTTGCAAAATATGTTGGAAATTCACTAAGATCTTAGGCTATTCTTTTAGGAAATTAGATGATTGTTGGGATAACTTACTGTTTCTTGCTATCAACCATACAACACGTTTACAGGTTTGTCACAATCCGCATTTTGGTGTTGTGATTTAATTCAGAACCGGTAAGAAAAGGTCCTTGCGATTCTCTGACGTAGACATGTCTACCCAGGAATCTTGGGCTTTTTAATTTTAAGCATATATAAGGGGGTAGAGGTATTGAAGCTCAACCTGCCTCCTACGTGCGTGCTGCCACCAAGCCATACAGAATGAGCGACCTTGAGGGGGAACCTCAAGGGCTTGCCTGGACGACTTAAAAACGTGTCTTAGGTATCCATACGAGTTAGGGAACTCTATGGACGGCGCGACGCCTTCGGGCTAGCGTTGGGCACCAAACGGGTGTTGGACGCTCGATGTGTGGGACGAGTATGCCCCGCGGACTGCCGAAATGATGGATCGAGATCTCCATGCCGATTGGATACTTGAAGCACCTATCTTAGGGGTTTCATGTGTTGACTTGTGAGCATAGTGTGGGTTCAGCTATGCGAGCAAGGGTCTGTTGGCCTAGACGTGCAGTTGTGGGGCGACACTGCACTAGTCGGGATGGAAATATATCGCGAGGGCTATGTATGGGCATGCCCCGAACGACGCACATGACGCTGGCCAAGGACTAAAGGTTGCCTTACTCGGTCGAAGCACAAGCCGGGTGCGGATGCACGAGGTGAGTGTCAAGCTTGAGGAGTGGACTGTGCATGCGAGAGCGATGATCAGTTCTAGGCAAGGGACAGACATGTCCTAAGCCAAACCCCGGGTGTACGCATGGATGAGGTCCAGCAGAGGCGATGTGCCATAATTAGTCAAGGCCAAGAGCCTTGACATCATACGGGTAGTACAGTTGGAGCGAGCTTTCTAGGCAAGCTTCACCACAGGCATAGAATCGTGCTAGAAAACCTGGGAAAGGAGATAGGCTGGCCTGCAGCGAGGGGTGACTGCAGGCGCCATTCGGTGCCGCTTACGTATGTGAGTAAGTCGGCCCGTGGCAATCTTCCCATATACCACATCTAGGGGTATTCAAACCGAATCAGAAAATCGTACCAAACCGAAAAGTCAAATCAAATCGATTGAAAATTTTGATTAGGTTTGGTTTGATTTGGTTTGGTATTGAGTAAAAAAAAACCCGAACCAAACCGACATATAAATAAAAAATACTTTTAAGACTTTATATAGAATTTTCTTTAGAAAATGTCTAGAAATATTTGAAATCCTCTTAAGGAATATAATATTTAATAGAACTATAGAGTGATGCATTTATTTTTATCTTCTTTAAATAATGGGTTGTAGCACTTTCTTATCAAGCGTATTGAAATTCGTCAATCATCTCTTTGTTATTCCTTATTCATATGTCAAGATTTCTTATATCTTTTTTGAATATGAAGTGGTATTTCGATAATTTAAAATTAAATAAAACATATCATTATTTAGGTATCATATTGGTTTTTATGTTTAATTATTAAATTCGGTTATTTGTGAAAGCGTACATCAACAAAAAATTATTGTTAGACTACTAAGAAAATAACTATCATGTATTACTAAAAAAAATCTCTCGTAAGAATATTTTAATAGATCTTATTTTTATTTTTATTTTTATAATCATATATTCACTTATCAAAACTTTATCGATAACTTTAACAAAGTAAGATTAAAATAATATTCATGTAATAAAAAAATCCGAAAAATCTGAAAAATTTGACAAACCGAACCAATCCCAACCAATATAGTTGATTTGGTATGATTTTGATAAAACCCGAACCAATCCGATTCATGTGCACCCCTAACCACATCTATTGTGAGGGCTTGCTGTAGCTATGGGCACATGGGCCTCACAAGGAATAGCTGGGTAAAGATATTTGTTGAATATCTTCCTTTATTTGCTTATTTATTCGTAAAGATTTTATTAGGATTGAATTATCAAGATTAGCCCCTTTATGCAATGAACCTCCTTAATTTTTCGTTTTGAAATTGAAGATCCTTTCATTAGCGGGGAAAAAAAAACATACAAGCAGCATAGTGGTGGTCTTCCATGAGTGCAACATGTTAGGAATATACTATCCCAATGGCGTTAATTTCTTTGACATTTTCATTTTTCTTAGAAAATTGAAGGATGAAACTAAGCATTCAGGCTCCTTAAGTTTAGGTATAGTAATATACAATTTTGCTTGTCATGATATTTTTAATTGTATAACATAGCTGATAAATTATTACCGTTATATCAGATTAAACCACATTATATTCTTCACTGCTTATAGACACGTTAATTCCTATCTTTTCTTTAATTCGGGATGTCCTCATTTTATTTCATTACTAAAATTATCTTTTACTACTTTTACAAGTTTAAAAAATTCTTGCTTACATAACCAACCGATTAAGAAGGCACAACATCGTCTGAATTAAACTAACATTAGTCACCATTATTTGGATCATGCATAAGTTAAATTCCGTTTTGATAGAGCGAGTCAAGGAAAATGATAAAACATGTGTCCTTTCTCGTTAGTTCTTGGTCAGTACCTAGACCAAAATAGTATTAGTAACTTCACACAGTCGCCTTGCTTAATGTTCCCAAAAATAAAAGGAAAATGGACACTTTTAACTTAAAAAGATTATATTTACCAAGGTACTTTGATGTGCCCTTAAAAAAGGGTTGTCAGTTGAGCTCTTCAAAATAGTAGATTCAATTTAGAGCAATATACATAATCGACGTACCTTTGTTAATTGGATAAGCATGTAGCGATTTGTCTCTGTCCATAGGTACTAGGGATTCAAGTCGTTACATTAAATGGATATTCAAATAAGATATAGAGTATATGTTAATTACCACTTCGTGAGATAGGGGTGTCAATTTGAGTTCAAACTTATTCAATTCGTCAAACTTGTCCAGAGATTAATGGGGTTGGACATTAAACATTTTAGCTCATGGTCTATTTGGGCGGAGCTTAAGTTAAACCATCATTTTTTATAGCTTATTCTGACCCATAAAGTAGCCCAAATACAATCCATGAAACTCACCCAAAATAAAGGGATCTCAACCTAGCTGAAGGCTTGTATGTAAATTTACTTAGTTCTCCATCATTAGTTTGAGTATCTAAGTTTAAAAATTAAAATCAAGGTATTTAAGTTTTAATATAAATATGAACAATTTTGTAATTGACTTGTGATGAAATTTACTTATTTAGAAATTTTTTTATAAAAAAAATTTCAACTTACAAATTTTAAATATATATATATATTTTATTTTTTTTTATTTTTTATTTTTGGAAAGGAGTAATTTTCATTCCATTTTCAACCGTCCACCATTTTTGAGCAAAGGATCTAGACTCCTCCGGACCCAAATCCACCACCAACAGAAATAATAATTTCATATTCAAACAAAAAAAGAGAAGAAACGAACAAGTATAAACCCCTCATAATTTGGATTACTATACTTCAAGCTTGTAAATTTTTGCCTAATTTTAAGAACCCATTTGAGTTCCAAATCAACAGCATAAATTCCAGTAAAATAATTCTAATTGTAAGGCGAGATCTAAAATATCAGTTACACTTAAATAAAAAAAAGTAAAAGAAAGAGCTTCAACGAAGGAAAGTGGCTGTGGTGGTATTGATGAGGAAGATGATAAAAGGACAGAGAGTTCTGAACAAATAAAGGATTGGAAAAAAAAAGGAAGAAAAAAGAAGAGAAGAGGCGGAGGTGGAGGTTGGCCTGCGGAAAAACAAGATATAGAGATAGA